ACTATGTGTATCACAAAAAACTGTGCCTAACTCTGAGAAGAATGGGAATCCCAAAACACTTGATCATGCTTATGTGAAACCTATACTTGGACCAGGAGACAGTCAGGACAGAGCAAGGAAACACTGCATGGTTCAAAATTGGGAACGGTGTATGCCAGGAATTTGTCCTATCTCCATATCTTATCAATCTATATATAGGCAGAACAGGTTATCCAGGAGGTTGGTATCTCTGAGGAGAAATCTGGCATCAGGATTGGAGGAAGACTTATCAACTATCTGCATCATCTATATGCAGATGATACAACTCTTGTTTGCTGAAACTGAGGAGGATCTGAAGCTCTTGCTGCAGAAGATCAAGGACTGCAGCCTTCAATATGGATTGAAGCTCAATATCAAGAAAAAAATATTCTCATCACTGGGCCAATTGGCAGCATCAGGATAGATGGTGAAGAGATTGAGATTGTTAACAACTTCAGTTTGCTTGACTCTATAATCAACACTCTTGGTACCAGCAGCCAGGAAATTAAAAAATGAATTGCATTGTGAAAGTCAGCTGTCAGAGACATCTCCAAAATACTGAAGAGCAACAATGTCAGTCTGGAGACTAAGGTGCACCTGATCCAGGCCCTGGTCTTTGCAATCACTTGCCATGCATCAGAGAGCTGGACAATGATTAGGAATGATAGAAGGAGAATTGATGCCTTTGAGCTGTGGTGCTGGAGAAGAGTATTGAATATACCATGGACTGTTAGGAGAACAAACAGGTTTGTCCTAGAGAGGGTGAGACCAGGCTGCTCCTTGGAGGCAAATATTCTGAAGTTTCATCTGACATATTTTGGATATATTGCAAGGATCCTTGGAGAAGGACATCATTCTTCAGAGGGTGGAGGGACAGCACATGAGAGGAAGACCCTCTATGAGATGGATTAATTCAGTGACTAGGGTAATGGGGGTAGGCGTTTCAGAGACAATAAGATTAGCACAGGATAGAGCAGGGTTTAGGGCTGTTGTACATAGGGTCACTATGAGTCACAGGCAACTTGATGGCATATAACAACAACAACAACAAATTTACTAGTTAACAGCTATCTTTGAGTGTCAATACCTTTATATCCATTATTGCTTGGTCATCCTGCTCCCTAGCACAGACAAACTCGGTGTTCAGTCATTACCTGGTGATGCTATGAACCTGCTAAAGTTGGTATTTATTTGCTGGGAAAATAGATTTAGAAATGAACTGTGAGACCCAATATTCCAAGGTTCTACTATGTTTGTTGTTTTGTGCCGTCATGTCAACTATGACTTGTAGTGACCCTATGTATAATAGCTCTTAACCCTGCTCTTTCCTGAGCTTTTCTGATTGTCTCTGACACACCTACCCACACTGTACCTGTTACTGTGTCAATCCATCTCATCTAGGGTCTTCCTCACTCCACCCTTCCAAGCATGATGTCCTTCTTCAAGGATGGATGTCACTTAAGCAACATGCCTAAAATATGTGAGATGCAGCTTCAAAATCCTTGTCTTCAAGGAGCAGCTTGGTTTCACCTATCCAGAACAGACCTGTTTGTTCTCTTGGAAATCTATGTCATGTTTTATACTCTTCTCTAGCATTACAACTCAAAGGCATTGATTGATGATTGATTCTTCTTCTGTCATCTTTAACCATTGTCCAGGTCTCAGATGTATGTTATATTTGCAAATATGGGCTGTATTAAGCACACCTTATTTTCTTCAGCACTCTGGAGAGGTCTTTGACAGTAGATTTTCCTAATGCAATTGCTGGTGCCAAGAGTATTGATTGTTGAACCAAATAAGCAGAGATTGTTAATATTTTCAATCTCTTCTCCATCTATCATATTGCCAATAGATGGTAAGAATCGTTTTCTTTTTTTTTTTTTATAATCGTTGTTTTCTTGATGTTTAGCTTCAATTCATACTGCAGACTGCAGTCCTTGACCTTCTGCAGCAAAGACTTTAGGCCCTTCTCAATTTCAGCAAGCCTGGTTGTGTCTTCCTCCCATTATTCAGTATAATTATTCACATTTTCTGCATACATATTACTGTACTCTTAACCACACAACCAAGTGTCCATGAACCTTTTAAATTTAACTTTTATACCTAATTTCTGTGTTAACAACCAGAGGAGTCCAGAATGCTTTTATAATGCACATGATGACATTTTCTTTCTTACATGTAGGTAATTCTATCCAACATCTAGGTAATCAGAAAAGATTTTTGACTCTCCTTAACTTACATGGCATAAATTGAATGCAACCGCCATTCTGCAGGAGAAAGATAGGTGGGGCCTCTCCTTTCATAAAGGCAGTGGAGGGTCTCTAGGAATCAGAATTGCCTCCACAGCAGTGAGTTTGGTTTGTGTGCAACCTACTCCTATACTTAGTCTCTCTTTTTCTTTAAAAATTTGTGTGGATAGATAGATGATAGATAGATAGATAGATAGATAGATAGATAGATAGATAGATAGATAAATAGATAATTTGCCAGTTACAATAACTTTATTCTGTGGCATCATTTTGTGAAACCATTTCTGCTTTCCTTTTCCAAATTATTTCACTACCGTTAATAAGAACTCAGTGTCCCCTAACTTGATTCTCCTGTCCTTGGCCATTAATGAAATTTGGTTTATTTCATATAAATAGGATCATATACTACTTTATCCCTTGTGACTGTCTTATTCACCCAGCAAAACATTTTTGAGATTATCTCATGTTGAAGGACTCCACACTTTTTTTCTGAGAGAGTAATACAAACTCTCTTATAAATGTACAGAAATTATGTTAATCATAGAACAGAGTTCAGGTCTTTTGTATAAAGCTAACTCTGAGTCATATTTGACTCAACAACACTTAACCACTACTAAATGATAGTATTACTAATATATCTGGAAGAATATTCTTCCACTTTGCACGTCACTCTTTGTCAATGTGCTATGATACTGAATGAACCTTGTGCCATGGGGATATCAAATACCAGAATGGTTTCCCACTGTGAACAGTGCTTGATAAGCTCCCAGTTGTAAAACAGGTTGGGAAGCAGGAGTGGCATCCACTTCCTAAACCACATGCTTCTGGAAACTCTATGAACTTGGAGAAACAATGATAGCTATGGAAAGGCATTAGGTCTTCAGTTCATAGAGTCACTGTGAGTCGACATTGACTCGACGGCAGTCAACAACAACAACAATATCCTATTGCACTTGTGCCGTATTTTGTTTATCCATTCATCTATTGATAGTTGTTTAAATTGCTTCCACTTTTTTGCTACAAAAGTTAGTGAATAATGCTGCAAAGAACACTGATATGCCCTAATTTTTTTTAATTTACTAGTTTGCATACAATAATTTGTTTACATAGTGTTTTATTCATGTATATTGTTTATTTGTTTTTTTCTCTTACCTCTTCCTACCAAACTCTGTGATCCTGTGATTTCCCCTCCTCTTCACCCTCACCTTTCACCCTCACCTTGCACCTGTCCCTCTTTGTATATCCATATTCATCTTCCTGGTTATCTTTCTGCTTTTACAATAAAGGTCTTATGCAGTATTTGTTCTTATGCACCTGAGTTAGTTCACTCAGTATGATGTCCTCTCTAGCCTCCTTTATGTTATATATAGTATTTTTCAAAATCATTGCTCCTGAGTGCTGCATAGTATATCATCGTGTGAATGTACCACAAATTCTCAATCCAGGCATTTGTTGATGGACATTTGGGCTGTTTCCATATTCTTACTGTTGGGAATAATACTGCTATGAACATTGATATACAAATCTCTTTTTGGTGTCTCAGCTCTGTTTTTCTTGGGGTCTTCCTTTTGACGATGTGCCAAACTGTCTTTCATTGTGGTTGTACTATTTTACAGTCCTACCAACAGTGTATGAGCGTTCCAATCTCTCAACATCCTCTTCAATATTTATTTCTTGCTGTCTTTGTCCGAAGTTGCTGTTAAACTTTGCCACTGTAATTGGGGTGAGATGGTATCTCATTGTGGTTTTGATTTTCATCTCTCTCATTGCCAGTGATTTTGAGCCATCTGAAAATCTTCTTCTATAAAAGGTCTTTTCATATCTTTTGCCCATTTTATAATTGAGTTATCAGTCTTTTTCTTGTGGAGACCCTGTAATATTCTGTAAATTTTTGTTACGACTTATCTAAGATATAGTTACTAATTTTTTCCTAGGCAGTAGGTTTTCTTTTCACACTATTGGGAAAAGGTTTTGATGTGCACAGAGACTTAATCTTTAGAATGTCCCGTTCATCTATGTGATCCTCTCCTCGTTGTGCATACCCTTACTTCTTTTGATGGCTCCAGAGGCTTGGAGGGCAGATGTAGTTTATTGAAAACTATCTCTTCATTAGGCTTAATAGGAAAATGCCTCTCAGCTGTGGAGATGGTTTCTGAAGACGTGGAGTTAAATGTAATGGTCAAGAATTTTGCAAACCTGTTGTTAAATCTTAGGTAGCCTGAAATTGCCTAAGGTGGAAATATTGACACTATGGAAATTGGTCAAGGTCTACAGGTCAGGGTCTCCTATTGCCATACACCAAACTGGTTGATAAAAATTTGCTACTACACCACAGCTATACCCATTGGGAAGCAGAATTTGGGGGGCTTTGAGCACATGAGGAAGAACACTAGTTGTGTGATGGCTAAAGTTCTTGACTTCTAACTCAAGGATAGTGATTCAAACTCTACCATCTACTACCCAGGGAAAAAAATGAGGGACTGTGCATCTATAAAGATTTGCATATTTGGAAATTATCTGGGACAATTCTATCCAGTCTTCTAGGGAAGCTGTCATGGATCCATTCAGAACCAGAGGGTTGGTTTGGTTTTGAGTACATGAGTGGACCTACGTGCGTTCAGGAATGGGATGGCTGGTGGTCCAAGGGAAGTTGGGATTTTGCAAAGCTAATCACCCTTCTCATCTATATTCCAGTGGGAACTGATAGACATTTGTCTTCCTTTCTCCTCGCAGGCCAGAAAAGAAGTCTGACCAGCCCATGTGTGAGGAGCATGAGGAGGAGCGCATCAACATCTATTGTCTGAACTGCGAGGTGCCCACCTGCTCCCTATGCAAGGTCTTCGGAGCACACAAAGATTGCCAGGTGGCCCCCCTCACTCATGTGTTCCAGAGGCAGAAGGTAATAGAGCCACCACCCTCCCCTCCACAGCTCTGCTGAGTGAGGCTGGCTCCCCAGTGTGGAAAGAGGAGCCCAAGGACACCCACTCCACATTCAACAGTTTTTACCTATATAAATCTATAACATCATATTATGCAACCATTACTGCTATTCTTTTCTGAATTCTTTTACTACCATTAACAAAAAATCAGTACCCGCTAAACGAACATTCCCTTTCCTGGTAACCACTTGAAAGCTTTGGGCTCCTTGTAATGTGTCTGCTTTATGTAAGTAGGATCATAAAGAGTCTATTTCCTTGGGACTGGTTTATGTTATACACTCAGCTGGTTATGTACTGGCTGGTTATGTAGTCAGCATATTGTTTTCAAGTTTTGTCCACTTTGAAGCTTCAAGGATGGTGAGCACGGTGGGTAAAATTGCATGTGGTGTGCTGTGTGGCTGGTGCACATCTGGCCACAGGTTAGGTATCCTGAGGGTGGTGGGAAGGATATGGAGGGTAAGGAAAGAATGGATCACTGTTTTTGTGCAATTGGTACTTTCTGAAGACAGTAATATCTACAAAACTTGGCCCAAGCTTAAGCTGCTTGAGCATTACTTAAAATACAGACAAAATAACAACTTTTTGCTTTAGTCACAAAGTTTTCTTTGTCCTGCTCAAGTTGTTTTCTACCTCCACTCCTAGTGTGTGGAAGTTACAATGAATGACTAACACAAATCCAACAGATTTGTCTTGTGCCAACCTTCCTGTCATCTGTGTGCACTACTGAACGGACCCCCTGAATGTGGCCCATATTTCCCATCCTACAGCCCCAGGCTCAGGCCCCTCATTCCAGCCAAACAGTGTCTTCCCCCGCCATAAGGACTCTGCAAACCTGTGTCCATGCATTAGCAGGACAATGCACTCAAAATGGAGGTGGATACCTCAATAGATGCAGCCATTCTAATATCTCAAACTTACACTCATTTCTGTTAAGTCAGGACTGACTGATAGCTGATCCTCCTTGGGTTTTCCAAGGCATAAGTCCCAAGCGAGGAAATTGTCCGTCCTTGGTGGATTTGAACCACCTTTGGGTTAACAGCACATCTCCCTACAGACCATGGCACCAGAGTTCCCACATTCTAATACTAGCCAGACTGAATCACCTCTGAGTCATGAAGATCCCATGTCTGCAAGAGTAGAGTAGTTTACTGGCCTTTCATCAGCTGTAAATTTTACATAGGCTGACATTTCTTCTGTGACACTGGGAGGGCTTGAACCACCAATCTTTAGGTTAATAGATATGCACAAACCATTTGTGTCACCCAGAAACCATGTTGCCTCTCTGGGAAGATCCATACCTCAGTTTCTTTTAGCTAGAACCACAGATTTCACATTGGTCAGTGTCTTGTGGAAAGAATAAAATTTGGAATCAATTCTTGGACAACATCAGTTGCAATCTGTATTTACCAAGTGTTATATAAAGTAAAATTTATCAAGATGCCTATAATATTTATTTCTTTTTCAGTCAACTTATGATTTATTCTCTCTCCCTTTCCCTCCAAAGAATGTAGAGCATCTTGGAAACGGATAGTAGCTAGTTTCAGACTGTAGGTAGTCTTGGATTTAGGATGGGTTTCTATTTATAATTCAGTTCTGACATAAGTAAAATTTTTTTGGTGTTCATTATTATTGCCTTTTATTATAATCATCACCATAATAATAATAATATGATTATCATTATTATATGAGAAGTCTGGTGACATAGTCCTTAGGAAATTGAACTGCGAACCAAGTGGTGATTCTTTAGCAGATCAAATGCACCAGCAGCTCCATGAAAGAAAGATGGCCACTCTCCTCCTTTGTGATTTACATACAGCCTCCAAAAACCCTCTGGAGGTAAACTATGAGTGGGTTCTCACTCAACAGCAATGACAGAAAGAGAGATAGTTTATTATCATTATACTTATTTACTGGTGGTTCAAATCCACAACTGGCTGTGGGAGAGAAAGATGGGTATTCTCCTCCTGTGAGATTTACTTCTTCAGAAAAATTCTCATGTGAGGATCAGCTGTGAGGCACTTCCAACTCTGTTGAAATCCAAATCTATATTATGTATTATCTGTACTTCCCTTGAGCCCTGGAGACTCTGGATGTCACTTCGGGACTGTTGAGGTCAGGGGTTCTCAGTGAGAACATGAGAAGGACAGTCAGATGGGACCCCCTCTCTAGTACCTGTGCAGACAACACAGCTTCACGTTTACCTCCCATTTTACTAGCTATTCTACTTTAGATTTCTTTTGGAGAATGTATTCTACAGCTTCGCAATATTATAAAAAATTCTTAATAGCTTAAATATGAGAAAAGTAAGGTCCAAAATGATCTGATGTCTTGTTCAACATCATAGAGAATAGTTAAAGACATAGTTAAGGAGCAGGTCAGTCTCCTGTGTTCCTACTTAGGACTCTTTGTCTTCCATGAGGAGCCTAGGATGCAAAGAGTACTGATGGTGGAATCTCTTCTCAGGTCAAAAGTGCAAGATAATTCCAGAGTTGAGATTTCTCCCCTAGAACCCTACAGGTTGACAGTTTGAGGCAACTCAGGGTTACTAAAAAAAAAAACCAGGGAAGAAAATGCTGGCAGTCTTCTTCCATTAAGATTAACTCAAACAATGAATGAATGGAATCCCAAAATCTCTGTAGATGTTCATTGAAATGAAAAATAAACAACCTAAATTAGAAAAAAAATATTAACTCAAACAAACAAGCCAAAAACAAGGCATAACAAACCCCAAGCTCACCATCAAGTCAATCCCAGCTCATAGCTTTAAGCTTAGAGCTGAGTAAACATCCGTGTATTGTGTTCCCTGTAACACATGGGTCACCGAATCATTCAATGACAATGGGTTTTAATAACGGGACTTATTTAAGTGTGTGATTGTTTACAGTGTATGTTGAATAAATCAATTTCCCAAGCAAAATGAATTATGAGATAAAAAAGAATTCCATTTAGAACTCTGAATTAATATACAAGGCTCCTTTTGCCATACAGAGGTAACTTGTGGTCACTGTGAAGCTGAACACTGTGACACTGATGTGTCAAATGTGATAATGGTTACCCATGGTGGACAGTGTTTGGTGGCACTCCCCAGTTGAAACAAGCTTGGAAGCAGGAGTGGCATCCACTTCTGTATATAGCTTGCCTTGGGAAACTCTATAAACCTGGAGAAAGGAAGAAAGTCAGGCAGTCAGGCATGCAAGTGTCGAGGACTTTCATTCGTAGGGTTGCTATGAGTCACCTAAGACTCGACAGCACTTAACAACAACAACAACCTTTTATATTATCTGTAACACTCACAATTCTTTATGAATCTCTGTGTAGTCCAAAAGGAACCCTGACAGCACAATCATTAAGTGCTTGGTTTGCTAACCAAAAGGTCAATTGTTCAAATCTACTATGGGAGAAATATGTGAAAGTTTGATTCCATGATAATTTACACCCTGGGGAACTCAAGGTGGGCAGTATAATCAATTTACAGGTGAAAAGATTGGACATCTAAGTCTATCCAGAGGCACTTTGGAGAAGAGATGTGATTAAAAGGCTTTTTGAAAACTCCCCCATTGAAAACCTTTTGGAGCACGTTCTCTGACACATATGGAGTCACCACAAATCAGCATCGACCATGGTTACTAATCACTTGCAATTCTTTAGCTTGAATAGTAGGATAACAGTATCCACTGATGATTTGGTGGCATCTATGAAACCACTTTTTAAAAACTGCATTTATGCAAATGCATTCACAATTCTACACTGGTATCAGGAGGCTTGCAGGATCCCCCCACTCCTCTGTTTCTCCAGGGGTTCTCTAGACCCTAGAGGAAGAATCCATGAGGACAGTGTGACTACATGCACAGACAAGGTTCCTTCATCCTTTCTTTTCTCTCTTTCAGTCTGAACTCAGTGATGGCATTGCCATCCTTGTGGGCAGCAATGACCGAGTCCAGGGAGTGATCAGCCAGCTGGAGGACACCTGTAAAACTATTGAGGTAAGTCCAGTGGCTCCACAGGAGTCAAAACCAAGGCTGCTACTCCTGGAAATCCATGGCTTCCTCATTGCCACCCTTGAAATCCCGGTTCCAACATTGCATTCTTTCTTTCTGAAATCTTCATTTTCTAGCACAGGAAAGGAAATTGTGTGCCAAGAAGGTAGATTTTGTAACATTTAACAAGATTGTCATTACATAATTTATTCATTCTTGGTCAACCCCCTTTGAAAGGTGAACTATAATAAAAATAGTCTAAAAAGGACCACAACGGGAAGATCCTAGATGGAACAAGTGAAAAAAGTGAAGCAAAACTCAAATAATAACATTAGGATATATATATATATTTTCTTTTTTTTTTGGTGAGAAAAAGTTATATTTAGAATTAGCCCGCTGGACTCAGTTTAGATGATCCCAATTTTGTTGGCAACATCCAAAGCATCATAATCAAGAGCAAGTCGAACATAGGCCTTCTTCTCTCCATCAGGCCTAATCAAAGTGTTGACCTTAGCCACATCAATGTCATAGAGCTTCTTTACAGCTTGTTCAATTTGGTGCGTGTTGGCCTTGACATCCACAGTGAACACGAGTGTGTTGTTATCTTCTATCTTCTTCATGGCTGACTCAGTGGTCAGGGGAAATTTGATGATGGCATAGTGGTCAAGCTTGTTTCTCCTGGGGGCGCTCTTCTGGGGGTATTTGGGCTGCCGTCGGAGTCTCAACGTCTGAGGCCGCCAGAAGGTGGGTGACGTGCGGATCTTCTCTTTTTTTTTTTTTTTGGCTGTGGATGCCCTTCAGGACGCCTTCTTGGCCTTTAATGCCTTTGCTTTGGCTTCAGTTTTGGGAGGGGCAGGGGCTTCCTTCCTGGCTTTCGGCGCCATCTTCGTAGACAGCGAGACAGATATTTCTTAAAACAATCAACTGGTGGTGGTGGTGGTGGTAGGTGCCATATAGTTGACCACAACTCTCCTCGACCCTTTGAAAAGAATCTTGCCCCGTTTTGCACCATTCTCACAATTTCCCTGAAGCCCAAGCCCATTGATACCATCACTGTTCATTCATCTTGTTGGCAATCTTCCTCTTTCTCTGACCTTCCATGTTTTCCAGCATGATGGGGTGTTTCCCCCCACAAGGACGCTCCCCTCCTGACAACACGACCAAAGTACATGAAACAAAATTTCACCATCCTTGCCTCTAAGGAGCACTTTGTCTGCATTTCCTGCAAGACAGGTTGTTTTGTACTTTTGGCAGTCTATGGGATATTCAATACTTCCCTTCAAACATATTCATTATTCTTTGATCTTCCTTATTCATTATCTAACTTTCAGCTGCACACAAAACAATTGAAAAGACTCTGTATTTTGGTGTTTTTTTTGTTTTGTTTTGTTTTTTAAGAACAATTAAGTAAGGGGAGCTCTGGTGGCCTAGTGGCAAGAAGCTGCACTGCAATCCCAGAGGCCCATGGTTTGAATCCACCAGATGCTCTGCCGGGAAAGGAGGGACAATCTCCTCCTGTACCAGTCAGATCTGATTTGGCGGTACACAGACACACAAAAATAATAATAAAATAAAATGAAAAAAGAAAGGAGGCAAGTTATAAAAAAAAAAGAACAATTAAGTACTGGCTACTAAGTGAAAAGACATTAGTTTAAGTCGACTAGCTGCTCTATGGAAGGAAGATGCATAATCAGTGATTGTAAATTTGGTTTGATAATTTACTATAAATGCCAAAAACAATTTAATTATTAAGCCATGAGTCGTCACCTTGCATCAGTTTGAATAAACAGGAGTGTATCGTTTGTGGCCAAATGAGGATCATCTCTATCTAGTCTCTGGGGGACTTTCATTAGAGACTCGTCCACGGAGCAAGAGGCTTTCTCTCTGGGACAGAAAAGGTGGAGAATGCAAAGGGGAGAGGATTCCTCTGATTCGTCTTGGGCTTTGATGAGCAAATGCTAATGACTCAGATTCCATTTAGGGAGCTGCAGAGAAGTACAAGAGATGAAACAACAGGTTTTCTTAATGAGGACTGGTCAGAGGTGAAAGAGGACGCAGCTGTGTGTGGGTTTGTTTTTTTTTTTAAGTCTTAACAAGACAAGGAGGAACAGGTTTGAGCTTAATTCAGCAGAAGGGATTTATGTAAGTATCAGGGAGAACTTTCTGGCAGTGAAGGTCAGGGTTATTGCCCCTGTTGTGGCAGAGAGTAATGTCACTGAATTGGATTCACCTTTTAAAAATATTTTTACATAGCAGAACATAGAAGTGCTTCCTGTGGGGCTAAAAGAAGAGATTGCAAATGGCCAAGAGTCTTCAATGTTTTATATCAACAGTTTATCAGGAAACACTGTATAAAATGAACTATTTTTGTTAAGAGGTATTGATTTGGAATCAGCACATAGCTGATCCTTCAGCAGGTTTCCAGAGATAGTAAATTACATGGGAGAAGCATGTCCATCTTTCTCCTGTGGAGCAGCTGGTGGATTTAAACCTCTTGCCTGAACGCTGGCAGTACAACTCTTTACCCACTAGGACACCAGGGCTCTCTAATGAGTTAGAGGAATGGTTATATAAATTATGGAATATTGGTTGACGGAACACAACGAAATTATTTAAGAAACAAATTTTTAAAAAATTTTAAAGATATGAAAATTGTTCCTCATATAAATTTACTTGAGTAAATAAAGCGGTTTAGAATGTGTGTGTGCCTGTGTATATGCATCTCTCAAATGCAAAACTCAAACTCATTGCCATCATTTCAGAACTGCCTCATAGCTGACCCTCCAATGAGTTTGCAGAGGCTGTAAATCACACGGTAGGAGATTGTTCATTCTGATGTACACTCATAAAGGGGGGGGATCCCTGTTGCCCTGTTGTTGTTGTTATGTGCCGAGTCGTTTGCGACTCATAGCGACCCTATGTACAACAGCCCTAAACCGTGCACTATTCCATGCCAATCTCATTGCCTCTGACACACCCATCCCGATTACCCTAGAAACTGAATCAATCCACCTCATAGAGGGTCTTCCCCTCCTGCGCTGTCCCTCTACTCTACCCAGCATGATGTCCCTCTCTAAAGACCTGTCTCTCCTTACAACATGTCCAAAGTATGTCAGGCGAAGCCCCAGAATCCTTGCCTCCAAGGAGCAGTCTGGTTTAACCCTCTCTAGGATGAATCTGTTTGTTTTCTTGGCAGTCCACGGTACATTCAATACTCTTCTCCAGCACCACAGCTCAAAGGAGTCAATTCTCCTTCTATCCTCCCTAGTCATTGTCCAACTCTGATGCTTAACAAGTGATTGCAAAAACCATGGCCTGTATCAGGCATACCTTAGTCTCCAGAGAGACACCATTGCTCTTGAGTACTTTAGAGAGGTCCCTAACCACAGACTTTCCCATCACAATACGTTTTTTTATTTCCTGGATACTGGTGCCAAGAGTGTTGACCGTGGAGCCGAGCAAACTGAAGCTGTGAACAATCTCAATCTCTTTGCCATCCATCCTGATGCTACCGATTGGTCCGGTGGTGAGAATTTTTGTCTTCTTGACATTGAGCCTCAGTCCATACTGAAGGCTGCAGTCCTTGACCCTCTGCAGTAAGTGCATGAGGTCCTCCTCAGTTTCAGCAAGCAAAGTTGTGTCATCTGCATAATGCCTATTGTATAGATCGTCCACCAATCCTAACGCCACGCTTCTCCTCATAGAGCCCAGCCTCTCGGATAATCTGCTCTGTATACAGGTTGAAAAGGTATGGAGATAGGACACATCCCTGGCGTACACCCTTCCCAATTTTGAACCATGGAAGGAATAAATACCAAAAATTCAAGAATAGAGACCAGTGAGACTGCAAGTGATTTTCAATGTATTCTTAAAAAGTTTTGTTTTTCACACTTTTTAAGTGATCATAACATTTTTATTAACCAGTAAAATAAAGAAATAAATGGATAGACAGATATGGCTCAGATAGGCAGCATTTTGTTAAAACCATTTAGGTGACTTACCTGAAGACATAGTGGTATGCACAGATAGTCCATGATTTTATGGTTGGTGTTCAACACATCTTCTGATTGAAGAGCCCTTTGAGGACAGAAACGTTGCCACAAATGGCCATAATTGTAGTTGTATACGATCAAGTCAGAATCAATCTATAACTGACCCTTCAGCAGGTTTCCAGAGTCAGTAAATTGCATGAGAGGAGATTCAAACCATGAACCTTTGGGTTGGCAGAGCAATTCCTTACCACTAAGCAACTAGAGCTTCCTACAGATGACAGTAGTGTTTATATCGTGACTAAGGTGATGTCAAGAAGTGGCAGACAGAGGGCAAAACACTGATGCTAAACTATTGGCCAGCCTAGTGAGGATATCCTCCAGCCTTCAAGACAAACCACAGTGGAGCAAAGCTGGGCCTTGGCTCCACACATCCTCCTACCTGGCAGAAGGAGTGAAGGAGTCAGGGGCTCAGGGCTCCTATGTCAACTCTTCTGTCTGGATTTGTGTCCCTTTCTGGATTTCCTCACCACCTGTCAGGAAACATTTCTGAGAAGCTGTGGTGGCTCCTGGCCAGGGGGTGGGGAGTGTTATTAAAGAATTCTTTTTCCTGATTGGTGAAGAGCCCCTTAGGGACAGGAAATGGAGTAGCCCCTGGGGTGGGCACTGCCCTTTCCTCATTTCTTTGTGTCTCCTACTTGGGGTCCTGAATCCAGTTCTTTGGTAGTGCCTGTTCCTGGCACATTTATAATTTTGTCTGTAATCATACACTATCTTGCAGAGTTGGCCTGTGGAGGCACCTGGTCCAGGATAAACCATGGAGTGTTGCTGAGTTTAGGGTAAACCACTCTGTGGACTCATTGCTAGCCTTTAACATGAATGCATACAGTTGATATAAGTTTACCATTAAGTGAACCTTGAAAGATATTTATAATCATGAAAAGACAGCAACATCTAAAAAGTGTGATATTTCACCTCTTTGTGTGAGAATGTTACAGATATTTCCCTACAAATCAA